TTCATTCATCTCGTCTTCCTCTTCAAACGACGATAGTTTTCGATCATTGTTATTATTTGGATAAACACGATGTAATATACTACTACGTTGCCTCTGGTTTCGCTGTCTGAAATCCACAACCTGACCTTGTGTAGAGTCCTCTTCATTATTACGAACTTGTGAATGATTTTGATTGTGATTATTTAAAAGGGGATATGTTGGACTTGAGGCGCAATTTCCCGAAACATCCCTCCGCCGCCGAACAAATCCTTTTAATTCTTCCGCATTTTCGCGCCGTTTATATAATGCTTCTTTCTCCTTGTTTTGTTCTTCCATAATCAAATCATTTTCGTTAACTAATGGAACCACTTTGACTTTAAATTCAACGACATCATCGTGATTTTTTGAACTATCAACATCTGTTGGTTCGATAACATGAGGGTAATGAATATCCAGAATCCAGACTTCCCATTCACCTTCAGCGCCATGACATCTTTTCATGGACATATGTTAATTCTTGACACGTCGAACTCCAATTATATTTTCTCTAAGAAATATAATCGCCGAACCACCAGGTTGGCTCACACGCCCAAGAAATTTAGTCATTGCACCGTCCCATTGAGCAACTTTTTGAAATCTCCCAGTGGCACCTCCCCTATCATAATTATCTACTATAGGTTCACCTAGTTGGAACGTCATGCACGTACAATCCATAACACTTCGAATTAGTTGCCAAAAATACACTTTTTCATCCGCTGACGAAGTCGTTATCGAAAATCCACCAGTCTCTTCGGTATTTCCACACGGACAGCTCTCCTCTTTCAGTGGGTGAATTATAATGTTAGTAATCGCACCCTCATGGGAAACGCAATCTTCAGTTTCGTCAGTCTCGTCCCAAAATTCATATTCATCATCGTACTCTTCAGACCAATCCTGTTCCGAGTCAGATAAATCCTGTTGGCTTATGTACGATTTTCGTAAATAATTCTTAGTTTTATTCTGTTGTTGCTGAAATAATAATTGTTTCTGCAATAATTGCTCTTCTCGCTCTTTTGCGCGCCTCTGTTTTTCAGAAATTCCATAACTTAATCTCGTTATGAATTTTCCTGTAAGGTAATCATATACTCTGACCTCCCCATCTGCAGTTCCAGTAACAACAATGCCGAAACATCCCTTCTGGGTTTTGACTACTTTAGCAGCTACACAAGTAATTGCGTTTACAAATTCTCCTGGTATTGTGTAGAACAACTTCCATATGCTCTTGCGTGATTCATTGCAATCTGAATTAGTATTATCGGATTCATTGTCCAAATCTTCAACTATTCTAACCCAGCATTTGACAGATCCGTCTCGTGCTCCGGTAAAAATACGTAACTCATTTTTACTGTAATTTTGTTCACCATCATCCACTACCAAAAGACAGCTGATACCACCCTTTTGATTTGTGTCAACTGTATGAGTAATCTGACCAGAAGCGAGATCCCATTCTTTAAAATACCCATTTCGGTAGGTTGCAAGAAGTATGGCTGGTATTTTTTGATCCGATATTGATTTAGACATACTGTAAGAGTATCCATGTTCATAAGTCGGTGTATTAGGTATCGTAGAATGGGAAGTTGGCACTATAATTTGCAAGCATGTAACTCGTTCTTTTATTGAATGACTATTTGAATGAT